AGTACCCCCCCCCCCCCCCTCCTTCTTGAATTTACTGCTGGAAAATAGGTTCTGGCGGGGATGGTACCGAGGACGACGGCTACTTCTGCTACTACTACTGACGGAGACAATGCTACTTCTGCTACTACTACTGACGAAGACGATGCTACTTTTGCTACTAGTACCGACGAAGACGATGCTGCTTCTGCTACTACTGCAGACGAAGGTATTGTGACGGTCGACGATGCTACGGACGACGCCGCGACCACTGTGGTTGACGACGAAATACCAACTACGAGCGACGTCGCTACCACGAGCGACGCCCTCGATGCTGCTCACGACGATGACGCCACCGATCCCGACGCGTCTGAGGCCGCTGAAGACGGTAGCAGCGGGTCCCCCCTCGGTGCCGCCAGCTAAACCCCCGGAACGTTCTTCATGGGCGCGATCACCGCTGCTGCCGCTGCGATGTTCGTTGCTGCCTAAGGAAGGAGCGCCGACGACTGGAAGAAATTCAAAAACGGTTATTTTTTGTGTCCGTATTGTTGGTGGGTGACAGTGTGAAGACCCAACCATCTAGTCTAGTCTATTGATTATAAGTATGTTACACTACAATATCATTTTGCCACTGGGTAGACTATGGGGCGGGTACGGGGTACCGCCATCATACAGTACACGTGCAGGCACAAGAAACACACGTACATAGTACGTGTTTGTTATGGGGGCTGGTGCCGAGGGCGATGACGTTCGCTTCGGTTCTTCCCGCAGTTTGGTCCTTCCCGTTCGTTGCTCGCTCTCTCATGAAATGCCCCCCGCGTATGAATGCCGAGAAGCCGAAGAAGAGAAGAACGGAGGTGGGGTTCCGGCGGTATCCATATTGGGATTCATTGACCCTTCTCTTGGCTGCGGGCCACCTGGTAGTTTCTACGTGCCTTTGCACCTTGCTGCATACAGTTGCTTGCTGAGTATGGGTTGTAGAATAGTATAGGCTATGTGAGGAAGGTTTTTGGGATGGGGGATTTTCTGCTACGCCCATGGTGTCGGGAGGCGCCGCCCAGAGCTTTGGCTGCTGGTGGACGTGATTTGATTGCTGACCTTGTGTCGTGTTCGTGTGGCGTTTCTCGTCCTTGTGAGGGCCATAAACGTCCTGCTCGTATCTTGCAGTCTAGTATAGTGATCATTGTTGGATCAGACTATTAGACTAGAATCAATACGATAGCACTCGTCTTCGCGAATTGAGGACGGCGGGGTGTGGGGGTCTCCCATGTTAGAGCGGGAGAGTATTTGTGTTTTGAGTTGGTATGCGAGTCGCTAAGCATTCCTCTCTGGGGGCGGCGAACGACATTGTTTTTTTGGTGTTGCTTGCGTGTTGTGGGTCGTTTTCTGTCGGTGAAGATGTTCCATCTCATCCACATTCGCGCGTTGTGTCATTTGGTGCGCGCACGAAGATCACTTCTTGGCGATTACATTTTCGGGTGGGTAGATGCTGGTTTTGGGGTACTCCGAGTAAATGCTGCTGTGTTGATGTCTCTTCTCCGCTTGGTTTGCGAGTGTGAACAAGAGAAACGAATGAATTTAGTCAATCACAAAAAATATATATTAAAATTATTAATAGTGAATCACATCTGGCTTTCGTTTACCTGTGCCTGCTTATCCCCACGACGGGCATCAGCCTTCTTCGCCACCGAGGTACACAGTAGCAGTGGACCTGGCATATTTCGCAAAATCGCCGACGTGACGTACAGAGTAGTAGCAGCGTAGGGTGAAAGCTTCACGCAGAGACCAAATCCCGCTCCTCCCCCCACGTCAATGACCACGTGGTCTTTGGTCCGTTTTTCTCCCGGAGAAGCTGCCGTTTTCTTCGCGGCGCAAAAATCCGGATCGAAGTCCTGGCTGCATCATGAGAACGAGTATGACAAAGCCCGTGACGCCCCCGTATGGCTACCGTATATGACACAAGATAACACACCCCCTGGACAGATTTTCTAAGCTCGATTACTCCACGACGAAGAGGATGCATAAACGAAACGATACATATTCGAAAATCTCTCGACGAGACAGTTTCAACGCCGCCGTTTTCGGCGCTGTGGCTGTTCCTGCAGTTGAGAAATCGAGCTTCGAAAATTGGTCAAGGGGGTGTGTTATCTTGTGTCATATACGGTACTTAATCACTCGAATCTTCGTCTTGCGAATTTTGGCTTGTCCTGGTCTGGGAAAGTAGAATGGAATCGTACACGTGTATTCAGCTCCCACTGTCACCCAAACCTCACTGCGGGACCCAAACAAGGCCTGAAGCATGACACGCCAAGGCTCACTTGTGCCCTGATGTCCCACGCTTCGCATTCGGGCGCTTGTCAACAGCTCATTTTCAGCACTGCTGTTCAGTGCTGTTCCTATACAGCCAGGCTCAACCACGGCACCAAAAACTTACAGACGTAATCATCACCCCAACCCACATGAGGGAAAACACCGTACGCCGGGGGGCGGCCGTGAATAGGACCTTCAAGCAAGCGTGTGAAGCACACTCAGCGTTCTGACACCCCATCCCCTGTCTCACCCCATTTTTCACATCCCTGTTGTTTTGTACAAACCCCGCATCGACTTCCCGTTATCTTGGCGCAAGCAGCAGTCCTCTACTACCGGACATGAACTATGGGTTCCCCAGAACATCCTTGCTCCCGCAACAACGCCCAGAAAACTGTCGATGTCACAGAAAACTGTCAACGCCCTCCCAGGAAAATCCGTCAATCTTGACCAGGCATCAAAAAAATAATTCTCGAAGCTAGGGTGGTCTAGAGGTTAGTCAGCACGACTCCCTAGCGGCAATTCGTGGGTTCGCTTCCGTTTTTTTTTTTCCGGCGGGATTTTTTTTCCAGCAACCTTGTAGTGGACGAAAAGCGATCTACTGCTGTAGGTCGTGAGTAGACACACCCACACACAAAGGCAGAGGAGATGCGACCAAGCTCCATCGTGCGGCCTCCGTCACAGGAGACCGCACCACTACGCCGCACAAGAGCCAGCTCCATCATTCACTAGCTGCACAGCCAGCCACGTTTAATCCTCCTATCCCTCCGCACCTCCTTTCAATGGCAACGAATATGTCGCCATTCTTCTCGTACTCTGCCTACCACGGGGGTGTGGAGGAGGAGGGACCCTCTTCGCCCCTGCGCGTCAACACTCCCGCCAGCGGCGGGATGCCAGGCTCTCCCATGTCGCCGGCGGTGTCGCTCGTCCCCTCCTCGGCGGAGAGACACGAGGTCCAGGAGGCGATTCTCGGGGCCCCGCTAAATATATCGCTTCCGGAGACGTATCCCCCTCCTGCGCCACCGCTGCTGCTGCTGCCAACACCGCCCGCTGTCGCTGTCACTGTCGCTGCCGGTCCCCCTTCTCTCTCCCCCGGGGGCGGCCCCTCTCCCCCACCTGCGGTGCCGTGGAAGCCTCCCAGCCCCCCTCCCTCTTCCTGGCGGAGCCTGTCCCGTTGTCGCAGCGGGCTGTCTCCGCCCCGCCGCCTCAGAGCCTCCGCCTCCTCCTCCTGCTGCTGCTCCTGCTGGCACCAGTACTCGTCGATCGCCCTGCCGACGTGCTCCGAATGGAACCATCCCCTCTGGAAGAACAGTTTCCCGTCCGGGGACACCACCGTCACCGGCCTTGCCCCCATCGAGTACGAGCACCACACCGGCTGGATGAGCTCGCTGTACGGGTTTCCCGGCAAGTAGTCTACCAGGATGTCCTGGTGACCGGGGGGGGGGGGGGGGGGGGGG